CACTATGCTTAGCTTAAACCTTGGTGCTTGTGACCTTGTGTGCACTTCAGATCTCATCCAAGTCGGCTGAATTTTAAGACTGCTTGAAATAGCTCCTTATGTCCTGTAATTTCCAACTGAGCCTTGGAGGACGGGCTACGAAAGCCAGCCTCAGTTTGAATGTCTGGTTTACTGCAGCCGGGTCCTCGCATGACCAGCACAGTCTTGCATGCATTCTCCAAAGTAGTATTAATCCACCGATACGGCATTTCGCTTACTTTCGAGTGTGCCCTAGCGCGATGAGTCATTGATAATGGCCTTGTCAAGTCGGTGTCGACGAATGCATTTCGTCGGAGGTCATTTGCATGTACCAGCCGCTCACTGTGCTAAGTCCATCTCCTGAACTGGCTGCTCAGGCATCGCAACACGTCTCAGAATCCAATGCTTTGAACGTGTTCACCTATGATTAGCAGGCGTGGAGTGACAAAAGTCTAAACCAAACCACCAGCTGGACACTCAACAAGAACGTACTCGAATTTCTACTGGATTGAAAAAACATGTCAATAGAATACACATCCCGTTGGGTGCATTCAAAATTACTATCGATGACAACATTTTGCACTGTAATTTCCTGAGATTGTTTGTAAATGAATAAATGAACTTCATTGGATTACGATATGCAGGTTGGTCTTAGGGGAAGCACCACTCCGTTCTTTTTTGTCGATGCGCAAACGTCCTACAGTGTCCCAGTGAAGTGACACTTTAGGTTCGGTGATGCAACTAGATACTTCTCATTTGCCTTTGTGTATGCGGTATTCAAATGTTCCTATCAAACTGACTTCCATTTGACTTCCATTTGACGAGCAATTCGTGCTCTTGTAAACAGGCAGCCAGTTCACCACACTCATGCCGAATTAAAAGGGATAAATTTATCGTACACCAACTGTTTTGAAATTCTACACTCACTCTCATTGTCTGATATGTTAGTCGATATTTGCACTGGTTTAACAATCAATCACCAGCATGTCAGTCGTACCGGCGTAGCCAAATGTGATGTTTCCAGGAGTTGTCATACGATTCAAGGCCCAGGTTTTGCTAGCACGATTAGGTCTGTATTAGGTGCTTTAAAGCAGTTTTAGCCTTTTCAGCGGAGAAGAATCAAGGGATCTTTTATACTAGTCAGTTCGTGCTCACTTTGCCGATTGTTCTATAAGGATAGGCTCGTCGACATGCCCAGGTGGAATATGGGCAAGTTATGGGTGTCTTTGATCCCGAGCATAGTTCTTTCATAGTTCTTAGCTGCCATTATGATGATAATAGGGTTGGTAAATGAGCCGTTACACGCTACTATGTTCCGAAAAGTCTGACAATTAAATTCCTAAAACTTGTCTTCATCATCATCAATGGAAGTTCTTTCCTTATAATAGTAATTCCTAAAACGCCATTTGAGTGCATGTGGAGATTCATAACATGTGTTGTTTTTCAGTGTGATGCAGGCTTCTGGCTCAAAGATTCCCAATTCTCAGTTTACAGGAAATAAGCACAAGCTGACCATAATCTACTGACCAACGGTGTCCGGCTGTCTCGGATTACCCGTGCAATGATATCGAGCGTGGATCTATAACTCGTCTACTCATATGAATTAGAGTGACTCATCTAAAAGGTACGATAGGGAAGGTCTCGCCAGTGATCGACATCCCGTTTCCAAGCTTAGAGAACTCATCCGCAGTGCAATGATGCGTTTTGACAGCCAAAGTTTCAAAACCTTTTCTGTCAAACTGTTTATTCTTCTGTATTGTCGTGACCGCGGAAATCAATCAAAAAAGGTTTCAGTTCGCTTATATAAAAACTCACTTTATTTAGTAAAACCACTGTGCTTTTTTATTAGTATATGAACACGTTGTTGCCTGGGTATTGACTCCCACCCCTACCATACAGTTTGGTAGCATTGCATCCTAAGAACGGTCCAAGGCCATCAAACGGCCACGCCCGACGCACTATACGGGTGAAGCTGATGGTAGTGGCTACATTAATCTACAGACGCGTAGAAAGCAGTACGGGTACGTTGGCATTCACAGGAGCTGCGATCGGCAATCAGATTTTAGAGAGTATACAGGACACCAGTATTTTGGAGTTACGTATTTAAATAAGGTTCCGACGTATGGCGGTTGCGACAGATAAGACCCACTCCCAATGAGTGTTCGTTTTGATTTACCTCGGACATGAAATTTGTTGAATTCCCTATTCTATCCTCGGGTAGCTTGAGCGGTAACGTTTGTCGAATTCCTTAACTTGGTTGTGACGACCTTAAACCTGGATCTTTTGACCTTCCCAGCAAGATTTACGCCTCAGAGTGAACTAGAATCTATTCGCGTTGTCAGATTCACTATGTCACGTTTTCGTAATTCTCCGTTTTCTTTGCTTCGGACCTGTGATTCGCTGTCTCTCCAAGGCATCTTCAAATTGCAACGCATAAAAAATTGAGTTTTATGTTCCTCCTTATAACACGCTGGAAGATTCGTTTTTTTGCCTCCACTTGGTCGGCCTTTATTTTGAATTGTTTCTGCTAATTGGATCGGCTAGAACTGTTAGTTGTTTTTTTAGAATATTGTGGACCTTTGCAGTTGGTGCACACCTAGAATGGTGGACTGCCTGGTGATAGGTATCATGGGTTTTGCTTGCCTAACTGAAAAGGTGGGACTGAGGAGCCCAACCACCGCAGCTGAATGAATACTGAAGCCTAGTACAAATTGTGACAGCTATATTTTTCCCAGTTAATGTTGGTATGGTTTTTGGCACACAACCAACTCACTTGACGCCGACAATGACAGTGCATCCTTCTTTGGAATTATTTGTGGAAGTCCAAACGATTGGCTTTCGTAAAATAATGAACAAATTAAGATAAAATGTTGATGAGAATGTCTGTCTATTTACGGGTAACCTCTCCGGTTATGATCTCTGCCTCTAGGTTAGGGGTATCCTTTATCGGAAAGATCCTATGATATGTACCTCAAGTGCACATTTCATGATAATATAACTGAACAAATAAGTAAATAGCCAAATATCCAACTGAATGAATACACCAATATTTGACTGAACGTCTGACCAGCTAATTAACTCGCTCAGTACTAACTCAACTACGCTCTGTTTGAATGCATTATTTGGATTTTCTTACTAACTGATTGGTAATCATTCAGTAAATTGATCTGAACTCGTAAATATTCGAGTCATCATTAATCACACGTGGATCTCAGAACGACGGTCACATTTTTGAATTGTACACATTAACTCTGTCAAAAAAGTGGAGCGTGCTGCTTCCACGCATCCATCATTGTAAAGCCAACTGTTGTTTGCTTTGGATTTGTTTCCAGACAGGACTGTAGTTACATACACACACTCGTGTACTTTAACCTTCATATGCTTGTTTGCCGGGGCGTCTGATCACTTTAGTTATGCGTGTCGAACGATACGAAACACCTACTGAGGTCTGTGTTATCGAGCTGTGCGTTCGGTGTATACTGGTTTCCTCTAAAATAAATCCCAAAGAAGCTTGAGATATCGCCTTATGGTTACTTTTTGTACACTATTTTGTACGACTGGTGTTTGTTGTGTATGGCCACACTCACACCTCTTCTTGCACCGTTTCCTTCATTGTGGACTCAGTAGGTAGTGTGGAAGTTTCTCCATACTTTGCTGAGCGCTGCGGTCAGCAATAAATGCTTTTTTATCAAAGTTCGATTGATACTGAGGTAGACTTTTTAATGAAGGAACTTTCAGAGGCACTAGAAACAGCAGATCGGTTATCGCGAAAACCCATGGGAGGTATTCGAAGTGTGTATAATACGAAGATATAGTGTTTGGATGAAGTTACTACGTGCTCCTTCATAAGTGATTCATCAATGAAGGGATTATTTGGACTGTTCGTATGAAAGTCGAAAAATTTACCCAGTGGATGTCAGTACAGTACGTTCCAGTCATAAGAGTTATCCCGAAAACAAAAAAATGTTTAACAATCTCCAATTCAGTTAACATTGTAACAGATACTCCCTTGCTTACGAGAGATACAAGTTTGTAAGCTGGCTTTCCCGCACTGTGAAATCCTCTGGTAATTGCAAGGAAAACACTTTATTCCAATGAAGTAGCGACCTAACGGAAACAGAAGACAACCCACGAGTGGTCTGAAATGGTCCCTTAAGAACATTCCGCTCGCCGGGTAGGGCAAGGTAGGCCAAATTTTACTTATGCCAATCCCAAATAGTGATCATAGTTCCCGGCTGGACACAGACTGTATCACATCCCAAACATGTACAGTGGTATTGGAGCTATAGCTCTGGTGGCTAAAGCAGAACAGGTTATAGCAGAACAGATAGCTTGCACGCACATACATGGTAGGTCAGTGTCGACTGTGGCGCCCAGTTAAAACAAAGAAGGTATCAAAAAGGGAATATAGGCTTCATTGTCAACGAGTATGCTTTTGGTAAGAGAATTGAGTAATCGGTAGCTTGTCCCAGCTGGAGGTCAGTCTTGTCAATCATTCCTCGTGTAATATTTTGGTGAAATACTTCCTCTTTTACCTCTCACCCACCCAACTGCACACTAACGATGTTCCATCATTTAGTGGCGAAACCTCTGCTAGATAATTGCCCAGTTCAACGAGCAGATCACCAGCCAACTGATTGGTCGGTAAGGGTATACGCCCCTCCTGTGTTGCAAGGATCGCAGGCTTGCCGAGTGATTTTGAAGCATTGTGTTCCAGAAAGATTGACCCTCTTCGATGGCATCCTTGATGACCTCAGCTGAAGTCAGATCGCTCTGCAGATAAACCATTGTATCCTAGTATAGGTGCAGTTGAAAGTTTCGGTGAGAAACTCTGTCCTTTCAAATGGGTTAATGCACACCGTTTTGGAATTGTTTCAACTGGTGTATTGAAAACTCGTAAGATACTTTCATTACCTAGAATAAACGGATCTCCCTGGTCAAACATGCTCCCTTAACTTCCTCTCTCTCTCATTCTCTTTCAGGTGCTTTGGGACTTTTTGTTTTACCCCGAGAACGGACCGCAGGCACACTGTGTCAATTCTGAAGACTTGTCAAAACCAGAACTTTATGCAAAAGCCCCAAAGGGTCTGATTGCTGACTATTATGAATCCCATAATGGTATAGCTAACGGTGATGTCAAAAAAACGGGCATTCCTAAAATTTGATGTTTCCCTTACAGTCAAATACCACATTCCCTTCCCCCAAATAACCGCTTACATTCACTGGACGCGACGATTTTCTCGACATTGAATTTTGCGATTTGTAATTTCCAAGCTTACTACTCTTTTCATGACATCTAGGTTTTTGAAGAAGACCGACAATTTATACGTGCTCCGATGGACCAAATTGTAGCCCTGCTTTGTGACGTGAAAAGTGTTTGGAGAAACTGTCATCCGCTGTTGTTTTTTGTGTACTCCTTTTTTATCCATATTGCTGTTGTGTGATTGACAGATCAGATCGTGTCGGAATGCTTTCGAAATGAGGTATCCTTTATTAGTTTGTATCACCATATTTGCTTGTCTAAGTTTGACCAAATTTTCACTCAATGTCAATATAGATATTTTTTGGGAGATACCCCATCTGAGTGACCAAGTTCCTTGCAGTATCCTGATCAACAACAAGCCCATCATAGTCTCAAAGTTTCCAATAGACCTGTGGTATTTTCATAGTTGGGTACAGAGAACATACTACTCATGGAACTGCATCACAGACTGGCCTAGATGCATTGTCAATCTAATCATCTAGTTAGGCTGAACTGCTCGCATTTACGTCAACGTTTTTTCTGGGATGTTGATGGCCGTACTGCGCGCGTGACCTAACAGTTGGGACCGCTTGGAAGAAAACCGCAAGTGTCCTAAGTAATGTTGGCCACTGGTTACCGACTGTTCAAATTGCAAGATTCAAAGTAAGTTCAATCACGTGCCCTCTAGAATGAACACTAAATTATACTAATAAACGTCTAGACACCAATGACTTGAGCTGATCGGATCGATAGACATCTTTCCAGCAGCGTACACGAAAACCTCAGGACATCTCGTGTTTTTCATCACAGTTTCAATCCTAGTTGATCGTATTTGGTTATTTTTTGGTGGGCAAGTGATATATCCCATCAGAAAATTAGGTGCGAAAGCGGTTGAAGGATCTGGTGTAAAAACACCGAAACGAAAGGATCATCTCACAGTACCTTCCAGGCAGTCAGTTGCGGGTTAAAGTTTCTTGTAATTTGTCCGAATATCTCTGACGGATCAGTTTGTGGAGACGATGATGGACACATCCAGAAGTTGGAGCACCTCCCTCTGAAACTCGTTTCCATTCGTCTATGGGAATAAGTGACATTTTGGCACAGCTCAACATGGAGAGGTTGGACTGCTCAATTTACATTCGGCTGCACACGTTGATCAAGGGCTCATCGGGTATTCTCTTGACCAACTTGTGTATTATGTTCCAAATCCCCATGCCTCAGGAACAGAATTGGTTTCTGCTCTGAAACGGTAGTGGGAAAGCATCAGCAAAACTGTCAATCTCCAAGTGAGACTTTGCCCTTTAGAGGTCAAATCTGCATGTTAAAACATGGGGCCACCACAGATAATGTGATTAAAATACTTTGTGCGGACAAATAAGCGTCAGACAAAACGATGCCGTCCACATAAACGAAGCTCAATAATCTCTTTGTGGATTTGAGTTTGAAACCTAGATTCGTGGTCCAATAGAGTGTAAATTCCATGATGAGGTTGATGACAAAGCTGAACAAAAAATGATAGGAAGGACAGTCCTAACAAATTGTCCTTCACAAATTGTCAGGGTGGTTTGAGACACTTCACTGTCCACCCTAACCGGACAGAAAGTGTGGAAACACAGTTCATGAGAAATGCTCACGAAGTTCAGGGCATCCTCTTATTGCCGAGGATATTTAGCAGGGCCCGTTCATGCATAGAGTTGAAGGATCTTTTAAATTCCAGGGAAACCGCGATTTTTTGGTCAGCCATCTACGAGAAACTGCTGGGGCATTTGACATAATGTGAAAATATGATCAATACACCGTTTCTCAGGTTAAAATCATGCTCAGTGCTTTCGGACCTGCAATTCACATGTCAAATGTGAGTGTAACACTATAGGCGAGGCCAACATCCGCGTTGCCGCGGGCATTAAACCCATATTTCTGTGGCTAAAACTACTATTTTGAATGCAGGTACGACCACTGATTGGTCCTAAATGACCAAGATATGTTCTTATATCAAAATACCGGGGAAAAACCTAATCAAGCAGAATGTAATTTTCTCTTTAGCTTTGAACAATGCTGAGAGAAACTGGCCCGAAAGTCCGATGACACGTTGGAGCGCAAATAAATTGATGGGGATTCAAGATGGGGGTCAAATGAAAGACAGAGGCACAGGGCCAACTAAACTGTCGCCAGAGATACTCCGCCCAGCGCCGCTAGTCTTTTTTATATATTATGTTTCCAATATTGTCCGCAGAAACCCCATTCACTTTTGATTCCTACTTTGCGGATTAGCCGAAACAACCCGAATCCATTTCCTGTCCAACAGGCCCCTTTCATTGTTTGAACTTTCTGGTTCCACCATATCCCTGTCCACAAGCAGAGTACGTATTTTGTGGTCATTCGTTTTGCCGAATGCCCCCTGATTCCGAGGGAATAAATGGTCTCGCATGAAGCATTGATAGTGACCTTTTTAAGGTCCACGGTTGTGCACGGAAACACTACAAGTATGGCTCTTGGCCTTATGTATAGACGTTGTTACCTCTTCCCAGTTACAATCAATGTCAACTCCAAAGCTTCCTGTAATGCAGTGCATATTAACCTTTATTCTGGTTCTCCAGCATGTAGCTTACAAGGCTTTTTGTCGCTGAATAAGGGGAAAGCTATTGAAAATCTTTACTGAACCAGGGATCAATCACATCCAAAATGATCTCCAGTCAAGTAGTGCACTGTTCGATTGGTAACTGATGATACTGTGACCGATAATACTTCAAGACTGCTTAATGATTAGAGGGCACCAGTTGGCGCCTTTTGCATCTTACCTTATTACTGTTGAAATACAGCCTGTGATGAGTGCGGTGTTGCAAAGAACGCTAACTATTGTCATTACTTTTTGCATCAAGACCACACGTGTCATCAAGCTGTGTATCTGATGAACTGGGATACCCAGGCTGTGCATCGAAATCTCCCGATAGTGTGATCACATTCGGCCTCTTCTTGGTGGACATTTGGGTGCTCGTCTCTTAATAGAAGGTGTCTTCCAATCATTCGGAACTACAGTTCTTAGGTGTATAAACAAATGTCATAAAAAGACTCCAGTGTTTCGACTAGTGCGTCACATTCGGCCTCTTCTTGGTGGATATTTGGGTGCTCGTCTCTTAATAGATGTCTTCCAATCATTCGGAACTACAGTTATAAAAAGACTCCAGTGTTTCGACTAGTGCGAGTTTTCATTGAAGTAAGAAGTCGGATGGCACAGAGTCAGTTGCATACAGGTTCTCAGTCGAACAATAGAGCCTCAGTTCGCATATTTAGGTCTGCATCAACATCGGTGCAACTCGCTGCAACACGCGCAGAAGCACTCGAAGTTTGTGGTTGTTTAGATTGAACGGATACAATGATCTTAGTAAGTATACCTACTCAGTGTATCCGAGGTTCGGAGGTACAGGAGACGTTGGTCGATGTAGTATCAAGATTTCGCGCAAAAACAGCTTATTGGCAGATGTGCCAGAGATAGACGGTTGGTTTTGCCGCTGTGCTGGGCCATGTGGTTGCGGCCTCGACACACGTCCAGTCACAATGCAATTATGATTTAAAATCGATCAGAGATGAAGTGTGTATGATGAAGAGGTGTGTGAGCACCAAACGGGACATAATCCAAACTTATGTCAGGCTATTTGATGGCAGTTTCTGGACTGTTGCTCCAAGTCTAAAGGACTCCATGAAAGGTTCCAGAATAGTCCATCTTGAACACCTCGATTGGTGATGAAACGTTTGCAACCAAATTGCCCAGCTCATCGAACAAGCCAACGACCATAAAACGTGATACCTCTACAGGTATCTCTACATACAAGCGCATATTTTTGTATTTTCTGGAAGACTGTTAAAATAGGGTGCCCTTGGATATGCTTCATGAAGGGTCCACTGTAGCGAGATACCATGCACGACGAATCTGTCCTCGCGTGTATTTGGAACCTGCCACATTAAAACGTACATCTGGTAGAAACACTAACCAACATGTCTTTGCTTATAGTTTCTCCTGTCACAACATCACAAACGTCAAAGTTCAAAACCGACCAGCAAGTCAACTAGGGCTTCAGTGATCCTTGAGCTGGCGACGAACAGCCCCGTGAAACCTAATCTGAAATTATTAGTGCGCGGCGAGTGTCATCACTTCTACCTCAAGTTTGATCAACATGTGGCCTTAGGACGTGTCAGATATATTGATTTTTCGCCAGAATCCTATCACACGTACCATGATGAAATGATCGAGGTGAGCCATGCACACAAGTCTTGTACCAACAGATTTGGACCAATGCCGCTACGCTAACGAACATACGCAACTTTCGACCCATGACAGTGACTGGGTTCGCAGAGATCGTTAGTGTCTACAAAGTTCAGAGGAAGTATATAACCCGCTCTGAGTTCTTTTAGGTCCGCTCTACTCTCGACCCGCATAGATCCTCGCTACTACTTGGAAACAACCTTTGAGCGAGGCTGACATTGATTTAATAACAACTCTATTTGAAGATGACCTGTAGTATTGTGCTGATCAATTTTCTCGAAACACGTGCACGAGATGCAACACGATCAGGTAGCCACTTCGGAGTTATGGAAGGATGTAAAAACAGTGTTTCAACTGGTGTTTTTGGTCATTTTCTTTTATCCGAGGACGGGCTGACTGACATACATGTGTGTGAATTGTTTGATTCGCTTCTGACCAGTTATTGTCCGCAAGGCAAAAATAGTACGCAGAAAAACACGATAAAGTAGTATTTCATCCCTTCTCAGGTCTTTATTTTCGTCAGTGGAAAGTCACCAGCTTCACTGCATCTCCTCTAGGATCGGGACCTCTGCACATGCGAGCCTTTCTTGGTGAGCCTTGACATTCATAAGACGAAGGCATAACTGCTGTTTTAAGGACAGTTGCCTGTAACACATCGAAATATTTGTGAGAGAAATCTTGGTTATTAGCGAACGTACCTGATTCTGCCGAGCAAATTCACCAGGATAAAGATTATTTCCTTTTTGAATCCCAAATGGTGTGTGAATGAGTGTAGTTCTTGAATTTTGTGAAAACAGAACACGAGGCTAATGAAAAGTTGAGAACTTCTTCCGTCTAATGAGCTCGAAGAAGATCAAGATCGGTCGTGGTCTGTGAAAGCGTCTTCAGCAAAACTATGAGTAGTATTTTCTGTCAACATAAATCCTGAAAGCCATGGTATACCACCGTCTCATCTGTAATGCCGTCTGCCACTGCGCCAATAAAAAGGAATATCTTGTTAAAGCGTCAGTGCTATGATAACTGTTTGACGCACAGTTTACATCAGTCCTCATTATTATGTCTGTAAACGTACATCAGTAGGACTCGTATGTAGTTGAATGGTTGACTCTTTAATATACAGTGTACGATCCTGTGCCACGGCCGTGATCTCAAAGCGATGAATTGGTTAGTTAGCCTAAACACACGATCTAGGTGTCCTATATAACGGGAAACGTGTAGTCTAATTCAGCGAACGACAATCAGTTATAATTGCAACGAAACCGAATTCTATGAACCTCACTTGCGTTTGTTCAGTAGTCGAAATTGGGCAGCAAACAATATATTGAATCAAACGTACGGAGATAGTATAGATAGATAGACTGTGGTTCTATAGTAAATTACCAGTGAATAATGAGCAAAACTAAAGGAAAGCTTACTGCTAGACTGAACCTTCGGCAGTTAGCAACGCGGTATGACACAGAAAGGGCAATGTGCTATCAGACAAACTAAGCGGGAAAGATGTTGCGCAGTTCAAAGTGGCGCCAAATGTTCAACAACGAACCCAGAAATGAATTCGAAAAAATCGAGTCATGAAACAGCTAATGTAGACTCGACTGTGTATAAAATAGAATAGTTCAGCACTGGAACCTGAGCACTCACCGAAGGGCAATGAATTAGTCTGAGGAACAGGGAAACATAAATAATCACGCCACATGGAAGAAATCGTGAATGCCCAGCGAAATCATGTGATCGAACGGGAATTTTTTGTCATGCTTTATTAAGCCAGCCTTTCGTGTGATAACTAGCTTCCAGTGGGCTAAACATTTCACGACTATTTTCAAGTTACCGGCGTAAAATCGATATGCATATCGGCAAGGATAGCACCGTGAAAAGTGTGAGTGTCACGCATTCAGCAAGACTGAAAAGCTCACGATCTGTGTTTACCGCAATCGAATCGATCGAGCTTCTATGCACATACGGACGGCTCTATGGAACGGAGTAGCAAAAGCTGACTTGGATGGTGGCAATGAGCTTAAAGATGTGGGGCTTCCAGTTTCAACTCGGATTTTGCTCAACTTTGCAATCCACCGTGCAATGTGTTTGAAGGTCCGTTGAACCAGCAGTTCTATTCTTTCTAAATGAACTTCACTGAAACTTGGAAATGAGCTGATGGATAACATGTGATACAGGAGTTTCGTGCAAACTGACCTCGTGATGCCCTAAACGAATTTCAACATGTGGCGAAAAAAATCTGAAATGAGGAGACGCATAGGTGAGTGGAAAAGTTGAAAAATTCGTGAAGTTCACTACCTAGGTATGTTTTCAAAAACTTATTTTTTCGTTTATATTTCTGAAACAACACGTGTGCAAATTACCACAAGCAAGGCCGGTTACCAATTCAAAGGCGTCAAGGTGGGATCGAACCTTGGTCACCAAAATGGTAGTTCGTAATCTTATCCGCTCGGTAACCGTTGTTGGGCAATTAAACAAATTCATCTGGTTTAGAGGCAGCAAGCACGGTCAGCCTGGAATGTCAACCTATACAGCACATGGAGAACGTTTCGCAGGAGTCATTGGTAATCAAGGCTTCCTTGATGAACTCTTACGCTTTCTTCCAAGTTCGTCCACGTATGGAATTTTACCTGAGTCCGGTATTCAAAGAGGTCCCGAAGCGTTACCTGTAAAACCTCAATGCCTAACCCCATGGGCAATAAGACAAATTAACCGAGGTAATGCTGGTTGAATTCACGTCAAAGTCACTCCATACCGTCCCAGAATATGATCTGTCAAACGAACAACCTGGAGAATTGGTAGTGTTAGGAACAAGGTTTCGTAATTCAGTTGGTAACCACACAATACAGGGCTAAAGTTGGCAAGCAAACCGGTGAGCGAGTTTTCGCTCACCAGCGCAGGAATAATGGATTGCTGGCTGCACTAAGAAAACCGACAGTGCTCTCCATAAGCCCCTTCAAATCACAATGTGCACCAGATAACAAAGTTAAAATAGATCGATTCTTTTTCTGTCGCAGATGTAGACCTCCCTCGAAGATAGTTTGCATTAAAATTTTTTCACTGAATCATCGGCGCCAAATCAGTGTGTGAAGCGGGCACACAAGAAACGATAACTCAAATTTGGCTAAGCCACTCCTATTGGGTCTTCGAGGCTGTGTGCTGTTGAAGCGAATGCATTTCATAGGTTCGTATGCAGACTCATAAACTGAGCTCATGACTCATATTACTTCATCAACATAAACCAGTTTATTAGTATTTATGAACAATGCACTCTTCGAAATAAACCTTCCGAATTTAGCGAAACACACTCATTTGCGAACTAATTTGGTTTTGCGAGAGACTCACCTGAAACCTAGCTGAATCTCTCGTTTGTGATGCTTCCAGACACCAGGCCACCTCGTGTTTCTGTCGCTATGATATTCGAGATATCGCGACACATGTATATTTGTAATCCATAAGGTTGCTGAAAATTCGTCAACCTCCGAATATTATTATCCTGGGCAGCTCAAAATGATATTTTGTGGTTTTTTTACACAGCCGATGTTTAAAGAAGTGAGCGAGACACTTCCGGTCGATTTCAGGATATCCAACGTATGATAATAACAGCTCAGTATCCTGAGGACCACTGAGAGCTGATCTCTATCCGATTGCAGAACTCAGTCGCTGTCACTGATTTGGAGGGATTAACGAAGGTACAAGTGCTTCTCCGTGGGGCCGTCGTTCTCATAACCTTTAAACCTTAAAGTAACCCTTCATTTAGGAGTATTTCACAGTCATCCATCTAAGTCCGGAAGTGCTATTTTTTATCCGGTTGCTGTTAGTTAGTTTCAGGGTAACTAAGTATGAATATCAGTTCATAAATTAGAAATTCGATGACCCCAAAATGCTTGAACTATTCTCATCTCCACTGTACATTTCCTCGACTTGCTAGAACGGGATGGTTCCGGTAGCTGGCTTCTGACTTCTCGGGAATCTGTAGATTTAGTGGCTTGAGTAAGACCACTAAAAAGTGACTTACTGTAACTTTCTAGAAATCTGTGTCAAAATTATAGGACAAACACAGTTTCGCCTCTCGATCGACTGAAAGCTCGGAACTGTGAGGTCAAGTTAAGTGTGTCGGGTAGTTATAAGCAGTCAGTGACTTGTGTTTGCTTGCCATTATGGGCTCTCTGCGTACTTATGACACTTTTATGCGTGGCACATGGCGTTGAAGGTATATTTTTGCCATTTAATCTCACACCAGACCCAGTATGACGAACACTTTGTGCCTGATGTGCGAGTCTTGACTGTGCTAGCGCATACTGCGCCTTGAAGAGCATTCACCATTGTTTGTCCTTTCTTTGGTTGTTAGTCTTTAGACGCCTGTTCCCATACCAAAATCTTTACATACTTTGGGATTCACCTCATCAGACTGACACTGTCCTTGGCATGATTTCGAATGAGACGTTTCTCTCTTTTCTCCCATATTCTCCTGTTACTCTTTCGCATTCATCGCTTGCATTCACTTCTTATGTTTGTGACCATGCTCTTCACAAATTAATGATAATAATTGCAACACTCTTCATGGAGCTCTTCTATCTAGTACTACTACGTAACTCAGCCCGCAGGATGAAAAGGCACCCCTTCCCAACGAAATGCATCTGTTGGCAATTTTTCGAGCAAAACTAGATTTAGACGAATGCACTGGTTTGAATATTAATTCGGTTTTGACCAGAGACTGACCCACAGCGCAGGTGAATCTCTGGTTTATGACGTTCTTACGCAACTGAATCTGCCACGCCGGGTCGCCTCATTCTTCAGTTGGCACCATATTGGAGATATCGCGATACATTCCATAGACGTAATACGCTACTCATAGGGTGGCTGGACATCATAACGAGAGATTCAATGGGTACAGGTGAGTCTTCCATCAAAAGGAAATTGATATTCAAATGAGCGTATAAATCTGAATCTGTCCAATTCGTGTTCAAATAGAACATAAGTTTGAGGGAAACTCGGGGGGGGGGGTCTACCTATTGAGCATCAACAAGGGTGAAACCGGTCGTTCTTTCGAAGAAGTTTCAGCAACCATATAAGTACTGTATGAAGCCAGTAAAACTAGTGTTGCCTATGGAGCAATTTCGCATGTATTATCTCCAATCAGCTAGTTTACTCAAGCTATCTATGTAAAATCTAATTCAAGGGTAATTACACTGCTTCTTGGGCGCTTGTGGCCGAAAGGCTAGGTTTTGAACGACTAACAAGAAAGTCGCGAGTTCAGAACTCTCTTGGGGTTTCATGAGTTGCGCACTACTGGTGATTCTCATCAACAATGAAACAGCTGTGCAGTGTTTCTCGGTTGTTTAGAATAGATTTGCTTCACTGGGCGGACGAAATCACAGTTGAAATCACCCAAAATGAACTTATGTTGATTACCAGACTGAAAACCAGCTGGTGACTTCAGGTGACATTGGCATCCACCCAAGATAGGCAAGTTTGAATTCAAAATCATATGGGCTTCAAATAACTGTTCACTTTTAGAGACTCCAGAAGTGATAAAAATTCGGATAGTGACCCAGCAGAGTTGCCGACACCAACTACTGCTTCAGCCCCTGGGTTTTCGTAGTTGAAACTGAAGTAAGATGAATCACTCGCCATCTGTCCTGTCGCTAAAATATTGCAGTCAAAACTGCTCTTTGCTAATGGACTGTTTCGTCTTTTTTGATACAGTTTCATTCACCTCATGATATCAGGTAAATGGGTTTGTATTTCACAAAAGTCAATAAGTCCTTCGTTTCTTTGTATAGAATAGCTGCAGCATAACTCCGTAATTTCAACAGTTTTGCGCAAATTTGCTGGTGCAGACCATCCCGGGAACAAGCGATCTGAGAAAGTCATTTTAAGTCATTAGTGGCTACTGCCGTTAGGTCATCGAATCCCCAAACTTGGACTACGCTGATTTAGGGGAATGCATGTTGAGAGAAAATTTTATGTAGACAGTTTGGTAGATCGAGGTGGTCCCTCAATTCTACCGCGGCACTTGGTGGGTTTCTTTGAATCTTTCCGGCTTTTATTCCGCCCAAGAGGCTGGAATCTTTAGGAGAGGTTTCAGTGCACACTGACCAAGCTATCCTCAATTTCGGAACGTTTAGCACCATCAACAATAGGATTATTGCGAAAAAAGCTAGCTATTTGTGGAGAGGCGCATTAGCACAAGATTTAAGTAGACGGTAACACTAGTCAGAAATTTTGAGCAAGACCACGATCTTATAAATTCTAAAATCGAATATAACACACAAGGCAAAAAAACGTTTACAGTATGCAGACATAAAGACTGTAGTTGTAAAAAGCATTCCGTCATATGATTTTTACGTAGTCTTCATTTTGTGATTGCTCCAAAACTTGTAAACTATGCCCATAACAAGTTCAGATAGGAATCTCACGGTATACTCTCGGACAAAAAGCAGAAGAGGTCTGCGTCACAAGCGAAACACCCTTTGCAATGATGTTTACCCTCCTGAAATTCCATTGTAAGGAGGGAGGGGAATTTTCACATCTTTACTGAATGATTTTCAGATCAAGTGCATCACAAAATGTACAGGGTTCATAGCGCGCCTCTTGGTTCATTCAGTGAGAAATGAAGTACCTTTAACTC